CGCATTTCCTCCAACATGACTCTCATCATGGTCATGTTCGCCAGCCTGTTTGCCTCAAGGACATCATCTTTCGTGGCCTTCCGGTTCGCCTCACGAACGACATCCATCATCGCCTGGTTGGCCAATCTAGCGGCCTCCTGATCGGTAAGTCTAGCCGCCTGCATGTCAGCTAGTGCAGTCAAGACAGTATCTGGGTGATCCTCGTTCCTCTCTCGACCCTTTCGAGGCATTACCATGACTCTGCACAAGTTACACAAAGAATGAGTTGATCAGGCTCACGCAATATGGTCACACATGCATCATCATAGTAAAACCCAAATGAGAGAGCACACAAGATAGACTCGCAACAAAATATCCTAAGTTAATTGCAACACATACAAGCTTTTCCCTAGAAAGTGCTCTGATACCATAAAATGGAACACCCCGTGTATACCCGGTTTGTTAACATGTCATCGTATTAAGCCACGCTTAATTTAAAATTGCGGAATAACTTTTTACTTTCAATTATGACGTCATTATCATTACCAAGTTGAATTACTTAATTTATTTCATAAAACATTGCTTGTATGTAAATTGCAAAGGACAGCTAACTGAAATACCTCAATATATAATTAGCAGTGAGTATCTAAAATCACGGAACTACAACACATAATCCGAACATAGTCCTGATACATTATTACAACTCGAATCTAAACAAGATATAGTCAATCAATGTGGCATGGACAATCCCCATGCTCACCAAATAAGACAACAAGCCCAACATAGTCTCAACAATAGCAACATCGTAATCATAAAGCTAACAGCAAAGTAACAATAGGCATAATCTAGCATTCAAGCATAATCATCATAAAAGCAGAAATATCAGCTAAGCTCTGGCCTCCTGCCGCTAGAGATCTCAACCCCCGCATTACCTGAACCTGAAAATTGTACCCCAAATGTGGGGTGAGATCTCTAAACAGAAATCTCAGTAAGACAAGGGGTCCTCAAGGATCTTCCACCCCAAGCTCACTTACATGTCCAATATAAGTTCAAAAGCAATTTAATAATATAAGTTCCAAAACCAATGCAGTGCAACAGATATTCATGCCATGTGTGTTATAACTATTCTACTGGCCAGAGAAGTGCAGGAATACGTCTATTACCCACACAGTACGCGCCCATGCCGTACCTGCCCACAGGATCACATGTCGTCTAGGCGAACACCACATGCATATCATAAAGGCATTCGCACATAACAGCTCAATAGCATTTCACAAAACAATACATGAAAACAACATCATGCATATAAACCATCCCCCCATGGGACATGGTGGAACCAACAATGGCTAAACCGAGGACACGAAAGATTACCTTGCAAGCTAACTATCCAAGCTAAGAGTCCACACTAGCTCAAAGCCCACAAACAGCTCATTCACAATATGTTCATACAATAATTAATCATCAATAACCATTGTTCAAGGTTACATTAAGTGATTAAGGCTTTCCATCTTATTTTAAGTCATTTTAGACAGTTTCTGCATGAGGTATTTGAATACTCCTCGATGAGTAACCGAATACTCCAAGTCTCCAGAAAGTATCCGAATACTTTCACTTAAGTATTCAAATACCACAAGGTATCCAAATACTTTACCCCCAGTATCCGGATACTACACAGTATCCGAATACAAAAACCACAGTATACGGATACTACCTAGTATCCGAATACTTCTTCAAAGGTATCTGAATACTTTTCTTTCCAGAAAAGTATCCCAATACTCCAGCAAGGAGTATTCGATTACCAGAGAACAAGTATTCGAATACTACATGAAAAGTATTCGAATTCTTATTCAACAGAATGCAGAAATACAAACTGTCATCTGCATAATCCCATTTTTCGGGGTCCTAATGTGATTTGGAGCCCAATGACTCCATAAACAGATGTTCATTAACATTTTATGAACTCAGGAACTCAGCCTTAACTCAAATGGTCCAAGTTTTACTTTCTAATGGATTAAACAAGCTTAAAACCTAAAACTAACAAAGAGGTGGTCATGCACACCTCCAAGGCTCCAAAACTCTGAAAATGAGACACACAAGGGGTCCTCTACACTGCACAATGGTTCTGACTTTAACAAGATACGAATTTGATCATCAAGCTTGCCCCTTTATGCCAAAAGGTGGCTTCTTGAAGCTCAAGAAGCCAAGAACAAGGCCACACAAACCCAACTCAGAAAATGCAGCCCCTAAAACCCCCAAACCAGAGACCAACAACTCGGAAATAAGCTCACCAACTCACTCCCAATGCAAGCTCTCACACCCACAATGTGTTTACAAGGAGAAAGGTGGATAATCTCTCGTAAAAATGGTGTCTTGAAGGATTTTGGTGAAAAAGAGGAAATGGAACAGTGAAAGAGGAGAGGGACACCAGCTGCTGACCAGCCACTCATGCAAAAAACACTAGGAATTAACTTAGGTCTTTGTGCCACTCTATTTATAGTCACATTAACTTTAATCCCACTGTATTAGCTCTAATAGCTACGCTTATCGTTTTAATCTCAAATTTGGGGTTCTGAACCTACTCATTTTTCTAAGATTTTTCATATTTTTATTTTATTTTTCGCAGTACCTTTTCGGTACACGCTTTTACTAAGCCGGTATCAGTTCTGACACCAGTTTTTATTATTTTGACCTGAAACTTGTTTTGCTAGTCCTACATATTATTTTAGGAATATTCCCACACTTAATATAATTTTATGGGATACTTCATCGGTACGCATTTATACCGAGTAGCAGAACCGGTATCTGCACTTTTCGTCAGAAAAGCAACTTTCAGCATTATTAATTACTTTCTATAATTATTAAAGCCTTATCATAATTATTAGGGTCAAGTATGGAATTATTTCCTAATTCTCATATTTATTTAATTAATTTCCTTAATTAACGGTGCGGGTACTTACAACATGCATCGACACCACATCATATATTACCTCATCCTTATACTTCCCAATTGAAAATGGAACTACCATTTGTTTGTACAACTTCCCACATCAATAATCATGGAACACATCTTGTCCTTTACATTGCATCTAGTATGAAAAATATTTTCTTGTTGCAACTCCTTCTCTTCTTCCTTGATCTGCACATTAAAAGCTCTTCTAGCCACTAAAAGCTCTCCTTCAACTGGTAATTCTATATCACTTGCATCTTCTAAAGAAGGCATGGATTCATTATCAGATTCACCTTCACTTTCAATATCACCATTATCTTTCAAAATCATGACTTTGTTGTTTGGACATTGAGAAGCAATATGACCCCTTCCCAAACACTTAAAACATTTTATATCTCTATTTGAAGAGGATTGAGATTCAGTTTTACCTTGTCTGGAAGTGTTTACAACTTGGTTGGTTATGGAGGAACCAACAAGAGATTTAAAATGAGGGTTCTCTTTATTTTTATTCAATGTTGGTCTTGAAGATGAAGTTGAATTCTGCCCCATACGTATGGTACCCTTCATTTCTAGTTATGTAACAGCTCGTTACGTACCGATAATGTTATCATTGCATATGATATTAAGCGCGGTTATAATCACAATAATTGAGTTAATTAAATTACGGGTAAACTTTTTCTTTTATTACATCCTTATCTTTAAATATTAACCATTTCCGTAATCAATTAAAAACAACACCGTAATTATAAATGTGAAACTCGCGGAAGCATAAAACTTATTTATTATAACCCCTCCAAGCAATACCATTAACTCTAGGTTATAAAATCCCTTATTTTCAAAATTTGCACAGTGGTAATCGATTACCATTCTTGAGGTAATCAATTACCGAAAGCTAAAGTAACAGACAATAGCTAATTTTGGGCTCCCTGTTTTTGGATAATCGATTACCTTGATATAGGTAATCGATTACTGAACTAGGTGATTACCTATGCAAAAGTAATCGATTACTTTTATCACAATGGCTCAATTTTTTTGCATCCCCTGTTTCAGATAATCGATTACCACTCTGAAGGTAATCAATTACCCTACTGTAAAATCATAGATGACAACTTTTTCACTTGAAAAAAAACCCAAGTATTCTACTCCTAACACTTTAATACTAATTACACCACTAGTAGCATTACTAATGTAGACTCCAGGCCCTTCCATCATGCATGTTCATTAAACAATGCATCAGTTTACAATATTCACCATTTCCTTTGCCATTTAAATATCATATGGCTCATTTACAACACTAAGTCTCCAAATGCCTCAACCAAATGTGGCCATGGACAAGTCCCATGCTCACCCAAAATATCAATGTAAACATGTAACATCCCACATAATTAGGAAAATATATAAATTGCTATGAGGAATATGGAAGCTTGTGTCAAATTCGAGTTATATGTGAATACACTCAGGGTGGAATTAAATTGGAGTAGGACAAGTATTATAGTTACAATTATGTGGGGGAATATACTTTAGAAATTCGTAACCTTAGTTAAAAGAATAAGATTAATGTAATCATAACATATAATAATGTTAGTTAAAATTTAGTAGTTATATGAAATAATAATTAGTAGGGTCTCATATGTGATAGGGGAAACTCTAAGACATTAATTTCGGGCCATTGTTCCCTAAGGGCCGCAACCAAGAGCCATGAAGAAGGGCTTGTGATCAGCCCAAAACCTTTACTCAACCTTAACTAATCTTCCCTTACCCTAAGAGAATCATGATCAATCCCTCATTGGCCAAAATGCACCACTTGGCAAAAACCCCATCCTTGTTCCCCCTTCACATGCGCGTGTAGGGTGTGTCAAAATTCTGATTCTTGCTTGCATTGGTGGACATAGAAAGTCAGTCACATTGCCTCCTCATGCGGCCAATAGAGAGAAAGCAATCCATCTGCATGTTTTTCCATTGGCTTAGAATCCCCACATGGCAAACTCCCTTATCCTTATACCTTGCTATGTGCATGGAATGGATAAAAAGAAATCTGATTTCTTGCTATGTTATCCAAACTGAAACAGCCTTTGTTATCCATGCACCCAATGGGACCAAAAAGAATTCTGAATTGTGTCATTTTGTTGCAGCACCCAAGATGTCCTATCACTTCCGTCCTCTTTATTTCTATGCGCTATTAGTGAGACCACCAAGCTGGAAATTTAGCAATCCTTCTTCCCTCATTCTTCCAAGGCCGTGAGTTGTAGGAACACCAAAAGAAGAACAAAAATATTGTATCTCCATCCTCTCATTCCCTCTTGACCGTATTCATCATTGAGAGGAATACAAGGAGAGACCTCAAAATTATACACTACCCTCACCTCCTTCCTTAGAAATCGTGGACCCTTAGAGAACTACCATCACTCAAGCATTCATCTCATTCTTCTCCCTGTTCGGCTGAAGCTTTTCACACAAGGGGGTATAGTAAATTTTCTTTTTCTTTGTCTTCTCCTACCACAATTGATTGATGGAGATGTCCTCTTGCATGTAGGTTCTGACTCAAGCTAATCTCCATCTCCTCTTGTGCGCACAGTCACCGTCAAGGAGGGCTGGACTTGTTGTCTCCATGGAGCATAGAAAGTTGAGGTGTTGCTCCTTGTCCTTTCGTGGTTCTTGGACTGCTTGCAAGAGGTAAATCTGAATTTAGAACCCTCTCTCCCCCTCTCCTCTGTTTTTGGTTGCAAGTATGTGACACCCTCCCCTGTGTGCACCCAAAGGAGTTGTCTGCTAAGCGGATTAGAGTCGTAACGAATTTTTAAATAAATACAACATGGCATTTTCAAGTTACTAAATTAACTATTAGTTTGAAATCTGGGAGTTTACTGAAATCAGAGTGCAACTTTACAAAATGCATGGCTTGCTGAAATAATGGCTTTCCTGAAAAACCTTGCTGCCTTGTAAAAATCGTATAAATTCGAGTTCAACAGCTTAAAAAAATATTTTTAGATACAAGAAACTAGACATCCGGAGCTTTACGTGCATATAAAAATTGTTTCATTCAGAGGTGTCTAGCTCCCAAAACTGAACTCGCAAAGTATGAGACAAATCAGTGCAATGTTCCAAAATGACCTGACTTGCAAAAATCATAATAAATCGAGCTTTCAGAATTTCATTATAAAGTTTATATAATCTTAAACTAGACACCTGGGGCTTTAAGAACATATAAATTATGCCTCAAACGGAGATCTGTAGCCCCAGAAACAGAACTCGCAAGGTGCTCGCAAAATCAGTTTCAGAAATCCGAATTTAAAAACAGACAAAAATTGTTTTCACAAACGAGTTCAACATTACGTAATCTACAAACAGTACATAAATCCCAAATTACAGCCAAATAATATATGATCCAACATTTTTCCAATCTCCCAAATATTACACCAACGTCAAATATTTCATGCGCATTCATCAAAATCAGCAACAGACAGTAAAATTTCCAACAGCAGCATGTAAACAAAATATCCCCAATACAAGTACATCATCATCAAATTCTCTTTCGTACTCCTGCAATTTATAAAATTGAGCCCCCGAAGGGGTGAGAAAAACCCCAGTAGTGCGGCAGTAAAACCAATAAAGCAACAATATTAGACTAGTCACAAAATTCCAAAACAGTCGCATCAACATTTAACTTTCCGGACAAGGCTGACATATAATCATAGTGCGTATATAACGCCAAAGTACTAATCATGGTGCGTATATAACGCCATAGTCATCATAGTGCATATATAACGCCATGGTAATGTACGCTCATAGCACTGCAGTGCACGTACTAACATACACAGTGGAGATTCCATATTGGCTCCCATCAAAGGTGAATTCCAACTGTGGCCTATGCGGACTGAAGCCAAGTGTCCCATACCCTGGTACCGGAGGGATGCCTATATGATGCGTGCTCAATCATATGCTTACTTATATTATATACTTCGATTTCCAAACTGGATGCACAATATTGTATGCCATGATATGCTTCGCACACACGAAAAGAAACAAATGAATTATGATGCACATATGCATGACTAGATCATCATTATAATAACATATACTTCATATACTTTTAATACCAAACTGCCGCATAACAATTACTTCTCATAGCAGAATTTCCATCATGTCAAGTTCATAGGCAGAATGCAAATAACATATAACGGAATGCGAATCCAAGGCACATGTGAGCAACAATTCACAATTCCATACACTAGCTAATAGTCACAATAGGTCTCACCACCAAACACTTACCTTGTGTGCCACAATATTAATCAAACAGCAGCAATCATTAGTCCACACTCAAGGGTCATGCGTACCTAAGCAAGAGTGTAATTAGATCAGAATTTCACTCATACGATTTTATAATTAACAAACAAATATTCCCTGCCTCCTAGTCTTTGCATTTAATCAGTTTACTATGCTTCTTGTACTAAATCAAATTCTGACTTCATACTCATTAAACAACTTGTTAACAACAAAAGAATTCCAAGCTCTCCTCATATACCGATTCGGTTTCAATACTAAAATAGTCTCATGATCTTTTATTCATATTTTCAACATTACAAGGTCTATGGTACGCTAAGGGACCTATAATCAAGTTGTATCATAAAGTATGCTAATGCAAGTTAGGCACATTGACTTATTTTAACCAAATAGACCAACACTTAATAATAGTTATTCTTACAAGCTCACTATTCGATTTTCTAACATTCCTGAGATGACCTTCTCCACAAGACTAAGGGGCGATTTAGGCTTTCCAGAATGCTGTTCTCCAAGTTCATAACACAAACAATTTTTTTTTTTCTGACTTCCAGTTCTTTCTTTCCTAACTTATTAATAGCAAAATTTTCCAAAGGTTTCCCAAGTCTACCCATACGGTTTTCCACCTTAAAGAGGTTCATGATTTTTATCTACATTTTCCACATTTCTACTCCTATGGTGCGCTAGAAGGGGAAGCCTAGAGCATGCTGTCTAATTATTTTAATTCATGTAAAGCTTGATGCACAATAAGGTCCAACAATTTTATAACGCAGCTATGTTCCAACTCCCAGAATCGGGTCCTAAGCTTGCATGTACCAAAGATTCCAATGCATTGGCAATAAAGGAATGAAGAACATACCTTTCCCTAGACTACACACAAATCCGAAGCAGAGAGGGGTGTGGAGTCATGGTTTAGGTTAGGTCACCTCCTTGCATGTAATCCACGGTTCACCAATCGGTCAAAGGAGAGAGTCCCCAAGGTAGGTGCTAAGGTTTCTACTCTGCTTCTCTCCAAGGCTCACGCATACAGCCATATGCAAGGGAATTTGTCTATTCTCCAAGAACCGATTTCCAGCTGCATGCAAGGAAGAAATCCCTCTCAAAACCGGTTTATGAAATGAGGAGCAAGGAGATAAAGAAGTATCCCACCTCCTTGATGAAGGTTGTCATCAGCTGAACAAAGAGTATAAGGATGGCTGTGAACTTAATGCTGATTCTGCATGCAGGGGATACCCTCGTCAGCCGAATATGGTAGAATGGAACAAGGAACCAACAGAAACACACTTCACCTCCTAGATGGTGTCCTCGGCCAAACAGAGAAAGAAGGACGATGGGAGCTAGATGATGGTTCTTTTTCTGGTACAGGTCACGGTTATGAAGGTGTGAGGAAGGGAGGATGTTGTAGTGTTTGATTCTCCTCCTATGTGCTCACGGTCGTGGGGGAAAAATGAGAAGAATGGATCGATCTATTGTTCTCTAATGGGCATAGATGGGAACTAAGGAGAGATTAGATTTTTGGACTAAGAGAATGAAGCCCTTAGCTATGAAAGGGTTTGGCCGAACCACAAAGGAAAAATTTCCAAGTGTCCAATGATTGTACAAATGGCGTACATGCAAGAGGGGAAAGGAGATTTGTTTGCCACATACTAAACATGCATTGGCTGATTTGGTTTGCTTGATAACATGAAATCAGAATTCTTCCTCTATACTATGCGCATGGAAGAGAGTGCAAGGATAAAATGGGATTTAGGCTACTTGATTTACATTATGGCCCTTGGGCCAAGTACATTAAAACCCATTGGTTCTATAAAATTAATTTCCTAAGGGTTCATTTATCTCACTTCATATAGTAATAGCTATTCTATATTTTATATCCACTAGGTAACAACTAGGATTTTTACCTAATTTGTACCTACAATTAATCCCATCCTCTTAACTAGAATTTCAATTTCTTGGAACACATACTCACACATAATCATAGTTAACATAATTTTTCATGACTTGAATTAAGTCCACCCTAAATATATAAAGATATATATCGAGTTAAAAAGTAAGTTCCTATGTTCCTAACCAAAAATTATATAATCTCCTAAATTTGCGGGATGTTACAAAGCATGTTTAGGGAGTTAGTTTCTTCAAATTCTATCTCTTTGTTCTACCCTATTGTGCCTCAGGCTTTACTTGAATTAAAATATATAGACAGTATATTTTAGGCTCCCTTTAGCGCACCTTAGTAGTAGTGGAGTTAGTATGTGAATGAAAAATTCTGAACACCTTGTTAAAGTTAGAAAACCGAATCTACCTAGGGTTGAGACCTTAGAATTTTTCGCTATGCATGTTGTTAAAAATTGATATGAGGACAGAAAATAAACTCATGTTGAAGACCTTGGAAACCGATTGTAATTTGGGAAATACTAATTGCTAATTGTTGATGGATACATTAAGGGCAGAAAACAATTGGCCTTGAAGCATCATAATTCGACCAAGGCACTAGGATTAGAAGCCTAGGAATTGTTTGTGATTTATGGGAAAAACTATATGAAATTCTGATTTGGTGCATTGGTACATTAGGTGCGCGAAATCCCTAAGACCGTGGACAATTTCGCTGCTGTTTGGTAATTATTTGTGGCACGCGAGGTAAGTGTTAGGTGGCATTATCTTTTGTGACTACTAGCTAGATATGGGATTGTGAATTGTTGCTCTCATGTGCCTTGGATTCGCATACTGTTTTATGTTCGCTGTATTCTGCCTTGGACTTGATATGCTGGATATTCTGTTTTGGGAAGCATTTGTTATTCGGCATTTTGGTATTGAGAGTCCATAAAATATATGTTATCTTGAATATTACCTAGTCATGCATACACACATCATAATTTTAACTGTTTTGCTTTGTGTGCGATTCATGACATAGCATACATGCACGACTTTCATGCTAATTTCTGAACTAAGACTAATTATGAAAAGTAAGCATACGTTTGAGCGCGCATCATATAGGCATCCCTCAGGTACCAGGGAACGAAACCGTGGCTCAGTTCGCAGTGGAATTCACCTTTGGAGCCCTATGGAATCTCCACTGTGTTTGTTAGTAGTACGTGCACCGTAGTGCTATGATCGTACACCCTTTGGCGTTATATACACACTATGATTACTATTAGTATCTGTTGGACTTGAATTGATGATGCGACTGTTTTGTAATTCTGTATCTAGTTAGTACTATTGCATTACTGGTTTTGCTATCACACTACTGGGATTTTTCTCACCCCTTTTGGGGCTCAATTTTTATAAAATTGCAGGAGGACGGAAAAGCATATGATGACATTATTATTTTGGATATTTGCTGTTGATTGCTGCTGATTGGAATTCCTGTTGTTATCTATTTTATTTGTTGGAAGTTAGCTGACTTGTTATATTGATGTAATATTGTGGGAGCATGGACTATTGTTGGAAGCATGTTTTAAATCACTGTTTTAAGATTTTTGTGGTCAGCTTGCATTTTGAAAGATTCTGTTTACATTTTGCGAAAATCAATTTCTGAACATTCTGAATGCTGATTTATAAACTGTTTTAGAAAGCACTTTGCGAGTTACGTTTAAGGGGGCTACAGACCTCCGATTCGCTTATAATTTATATGCACGTGAAGCCCCACATGTCTAGTTTCAGATTATATAAACTTTACAATAAAATTTTGAAAGCTCGATTTACTAAGATTTTTACAAGACAGACATGTTTTTCAGGAGAATTATTATTTCAGCAAACCAGGTATTTTGTAAAGTTCCACTCTAATTTTCGTAAGCAACCAGATTTCAAATTAAGAGTTTAATTAGCCACTTAAAAATGCATTTTTAGTATTTAAGCAATGATGTTAGTACTCTAATCCGCTTAGCAGACACCTCCCTTGGATGCATACAGGGGAGGGTGTCACAAAATAAGAGGCATATATACATAAACTACATAGACTTAGAATCTAGGCATGAAAACACAAAAGCATGGCAATATCAACATGCAATATGTTCATAACCTAAGTCCAAAATGCTAGATACAATGTTTTGTGTATACACCATGATCCAATCCTCCTCTAAGCAGGCCTCTTGCCCGAAGATCCTCCATGCTCACTATAACCTGAAATGATGTCCCCAAACGCGGGGTGAGATATACAAATATATCTCAGTAAACCATGGGTACTAGAGGATCACTCCACCCCATGGCTCACTCAATGTGCATACAATGATCATCATAAAAATGCATAACATACAAAATCACATCACACTGGGTTCATATCCAAGAACGTCCACACAAGGATCCCGTTCAAGGACCCCATCATATAACTCCCGAGAAGCTTCCTGGTGCCTCTCCCATGGATGAGACGACTCCATGGCAAAACCCAACTGGAATTCCAAAGACTATCCAGCGGAAGTCCCACGTTTAGATCATCCTGGTACCGCTCCCAAAGACGACCCCACGGCAAAACCCGACCGGAATTCCCCAAAGGAATATCTCCAGCGAAAGTCCAAACCATACACATCTACTGGTCAGAGATCACATATATGTCACACAACATGCTCCAAGCATGTCACACAATCATGTCAATAATGCATGAACATACATTTCATACAAAGTCAAAGAGCACACAATCTAACCACTACCCTCCACTGGGTGTGGCGGAACACACAAGGGGATAAAACCCCAGTACCAAGAGTTTACCTTAACTCCGCAAGTAATGCTCCTCAACGTAAGCTCAAAGCTTAATCCACCTCTATCAATTCCATGCGAGGTAACCTATATTGATCAAATAATCATGTTCATCAACACTTGCATACAATCAATCAACTTCACAATAATTATAACCAAACATAACAACTTAGGCCTAAAGGCTATTTTTCATTTATTTCAACTATCTCAATCATTTTAATCCTTGAACTAACTCACCATTTAACCATTTATGCACCAAGGCATCAACCATTGATTATACAACATTTTTCATCATCAAACCCCACATGCACTCACATGGCCGAATTGCTCATGCCCACTCACCTAAGGGTATTCAATCCAATTTCACACTTCCACACATCATACCATCCTATAATTAATTCATACAAATACTCAACAACTCAATTACACAATCACCCAACATATCAATTTCATGAACTCGTGCATCTCAACTTCCAAAATTTCCTAAGTTACCCAATTATTTCCTCAATAATTTTTATGAGTTTAATCACTATAACACATCATTCTAAGCCACTTTTATATAATACACATTTTCAATTTGATCTCTCTAACTATATCAATCCATATACACATGCTCTAGGTCATCAATTTCAAATCTTCCTAAATAAACATCCATAAGTAGAGCTGCTCACCAAGAATCAAGGCCAAGGGCTCCTCCACACAATACTCAAGCAATGGCTTTTCTCCTTGTGGGTGAGGTTTTTCTCCCAAAATATTGAGTTTCAAGAGTGGAGAGTGGTATGGTTGGGTTTAGAATGCCATTTACTTAAACTTTGATGTGTAACACTTTGGCTTTTGGAGAGGATTTGATGGTGATTTGGTTGAATGAAATTTTCGAACCAAAACCCCCAGCGATGGTGAAGGTCCACGGGTTGGAGAGGAAGAAAGGAGAGAGAAAATCAAATTTTTGTGTCACCTTTGACTTTCCACCCATTTAAGTCACTTAAGTGGGTTCCACACGTCATTTAACTTTCTTAAATCATCCAATTTAACCTACAAATTCATAACCTACGTATTTTTCTCGTTCATGTCATGTTTTTATTTCCTAGGAATACTGATCATATTTTCGCGCTTATCGGTACAATTATAACGCAGTATTTTACACTGGTAAAATTACTATTCATCAAATTTGCAGAAACTTTCCTATCCACTCAATTTTTCGTTCTGAATCCATTTCCAGTGTTAGTTTTTCCATTTGAGACCTTCTACTCAATTTTTCTTTCCTAGGGTTACGTGTTTGGTAAATTACCATTTTACCCTTCTTATGCAATTTGACCCAAATTTCAGGATTTTCACTAATCCTACCCTTTAAACCACATTTTCATATATAATTATACATTTATGAAATACGAGGTGTTATAAGTTGCCTCTTCACCTTTATGGCCATGTGCATAATGTCATCTAACTCCACATAATGTTGTAATTCTACCATATTTGTAATGTCCCAATTTAAGCCAAGCAAAAATCTAGCCATGGTAGCTTTATAATCTTCATCTATATTGGTTCGAACCATGGTTGTCCCCATCTCCTTGAAATAGTCTTCAACACTTTTAGAACCTTGTGTGAAACTTTGTAATTTTTGAAACAAGTCCTTATGGTAATTGACTTGGAATAGATCGCCTCCTCATGACAGCTTTCATTTCCTCCCATGTTTCAATGGGTCTTTCCCAATGTCTCCTCCTGTTTGACACAAATTGATCCCACCAAACAATAGCATAATCAGACAATTTTATGACAGCCAATTTTTTACCTTTTTCAATTTCGAGTAGTTATGACAATCAAACTCCAACTCCGTCTTTCTTTCCCATTCCAAGTACGCTTCTGGATCATTTCTTCCTTGGAAGGATGGAATCTTCATCTTGATACTTTCTAGGTTGTTATCAACCATTTCTTCATTACGCACTCTCCTTCCTTCATTTCGTCGTTCATTCATCCTTATATCAACTATAGAATTGGTTTCATCTTCATTTTGATGTTCTGAAGTTCTAGGTTGTTGCTTCCTTTGTTCAACTCTTTATATTCTATCTTGCATTTCATTGAACCTGAAGTCCAATATTTTAAATCTCTGTTCCATGGCTTCAAAGTAGAATTTGAAATCTCTAGGTATTTGAGTTTCACCCGCTTGAGACATTTCTTTTTAATCTGCAAAAGACAAAAATTAAAATATCCTCACAATCACAACTTCACGTGCTTCTTTCAATTGATACTCTTTCACTCGTGTTTTGAAAATTTGGCTTTTACCCTCTATTGAACTCACACACTCTTGCCTTTTTCTCCTCTCTATTTTTTTTTAGTTCTTTGTTGAACTCAAATCAAGTTTTCTTGAAGAAATACAACAGACTTTAATGATTTTATAATAGAGACACAGAGAAAAAAAATGGATACGAAGAATTCAATAAAATTTTAACAATTCAGGAACTAAGGATAAGAAATGTAGACAATAGAAACAAGATTTATCTCAAAGAACAATCAAATTTTGCTTTTGATTTTTTTTTTCAGAAACTAAACAATAGCATAATCAATGAATTTTTCTAACTACTTTTTTTTATATTGAGGTACTTGAATAAGAAGAGACTAAACGAGTATAGAAATATACAAGAAGACAAGAACCCCATTATTTTTTTTTGATACCTGATATAGATCCCTAGAGCTCTGATACCAAATGATATGAACTTCACCAAGAGTAGTAAGACCCAAGAGCAATTTAGTTAGGATCATTTCTATAATCGAGAATTTAAACAAGAAATAAAGTATCTTGATTCATTATCTATAGAAGATAAGAACCAAAGGTATAAGAAGGATAAAGATGCCATACTCAAGAAAGAAAAAAGTGAGTGATAAGTCTGGTTTGAACGCCACAAGAAAATTATTGATAAGTTCAGAACAAAAAAAATAAAATTCTCTCTATTGATAATTTTGCAAATTCAAGTTTGGTTACAAAGGCCCTAATCCCTTCAATTTATACAAAGTCTATCTTGGAACATCCCTCCAAGAATAGGAAAAGACACATCACTTGGGAAAAGACACACCAAGTATTAATTCAGCCCACGAAAGCAATGAACGCTTTTGGAAACTACAAAATAAACCCACTAAATTATTATTACATTGATAATATCAATTCCGTTAAGCTTTTATTGCTTTGATGCTAATAATTGCACTAACCTCACTTGCATTGATGGCATTGACTAAAGTTTGATTAGGATTTAATTTGGACTTTATGTCTTTATGATTAGTCCACATTTCCTAAATCAGTCCATTAAGAGCTTCCTTAAACTTCTTGACCCTTGATCTTATGATTGGCCCATGTGGCAATTGTAATGGATCATTTAGTATTGTCTCCATATTCATATAAAAAACAAACAACATAACAGGCAACAAATAGGATAACAGAATGTGGTTGGTGGAATGGACGTATAATATGGAAGGATTTGGTAGTTATAGGAGAGAGAATGTAGGAAGCGGGGAGAAAAAGGAGAAAAATGTATAGTGGGAAGTGGGGGACATGCTAAGTTTGATTGTCGCTGGGTATAAGGAGGTAGAGAGGGACCGTGAAGTCCTCTTGAATGAATGTGTTATAGGCTATGTTAGCCATATCAGTGGTGTCATTTTAATCCTGCAGTTTACCATTTGTAAAGTGTTTGGACATTTTTAATACAATTAGTTGCTGTTTTCCAATTTTACTTGTTCTGTTCAATTTGGTTTCATATCAAACCAAACTCGTAAATAGTTTACAGCATAACTCTGCCACGACTAACAGAATATTCATATTTCAGTAGGTAGCCAGCAATGTCTGATAGAAGACCAAACAAATAGGTAGAAATGAAATAAATGATGAAATATATATATAATTTCTTCACCAAATGTTTAAGAACTATATTTCAATTTAAACATTCAAATTGGAAAAAAGAAATCATAACCTAAAATGGGAAGAACATCAAGCACACAAAATTAACGACCTGATTGCAAAAGCTAGGAGCTATCTTCCTGACAAAACAGTAGTAGCAAGCGAGTAGGTAGATGCACAGTCCACATTGCTTTGTGTTCTTTGACTCGACATAGAATCCAACCTTGGCATGTTATTACTGTCTGTTGCTTCTTCATCCACAGATAGCAAATCAACAAGGACCATTCTCGTATCAGGTGGCACCTCCACCCTCAAACGCCCTTCAAGCATATCAACCACTTGGGCCATGCTAGGCCTCAATCTTGGCCTCTCTTGCACGCACCACAAAGCAACATACACCAATGTTCTTACCTCCCTCTCATCAACACCCCCACTTTCCAGTAACCTATGATCAACAATTTCCATGAATTTTCCCTCTCTCACTTTCTCATTTACAATCTTTGGAAAGTAATGACATTTTCTTTTGGACTTGTCCTTTTCATCTTCTACGAAGGACACATTTTTTTTGCCTCCAACAATCTCCAAGAGAACCATCCCATAACTATAGATATCAGTCTTATCAGAAACACCCTGCTCTAAGAGCCATTCAGGAGCCAAGTAGCCTTTTGTTCCCCTGATTGTAGACATAACTTGGCTTTCATCTTTACCAATAAGCTTTGCAAGACCAAAATCTGAAACAAGCGCTCTATAATTTTCATCAAGAAGTATATTTTCTGGCTTTATATCAAGGTGTAGGATCCTTGATCTGCAATCATGGTGAAGGTAAGCAAGTCCCTTAGCAACATCAATGGCCACTCTATATCTCATAATCCATGACAAGCACCCACCAAGACCACGCCTTTGACTTTCCTTTTTGAGAAAGATCCATAAATCCAAAGACCCATTTGAGATATACTCATAAACAAGGTACCTAGGTGCTGAAGTAGCATTACAATAGCCCAATAGCCTCACAAGATTCACATGATGCACACTAGCAATTGCTGCAACTTCTGATCTGAACTCCTTCTCACCTCTTTCTTCTGCATCAATTCGTTTCACAGCAACTGAAGTGCCATCATTAAGAATGCCTTTGAAAACTGAAGCAGAGCCACCTTTTCCGAGCAGCGATTGAAACCCATCTGTTGCTTCCTCAAGCTCCTTGTATCTGAACTTGGTGGGGACCCCAGCAACTTTCCTTAAGAAACTGTACTCTATTCGTAGCTCTCGGCCTTCAGATTTCAACTGTGACTCCAACAGCCTCCTTCTTCGATTGTAACTTAAGATGACAAGAACACAAACAAAGACTGAAAGAATCACAATAACACCAGCTCCACAGATGAGGAAGAAAGCCCTTGAAAGCTTCAATGAAACACGAGCAACAATTATGATAATGATCAGTGCAACCACTGATATAACAGCGACTATATTCACTCTCCTGTCGTCCATCAAAACCTCATTTTTATTTTGAAGTAAAGATGGAATGGAAGCAAAAACCCCGCTCTTTATTCTTACACCTCTGTAATTCAACAGTTTGGCTTGTGATTGCAGAAAAGGATGGGTAGCTTTCGTTTGAATATACTTTCGTTTGAATATTTACCTAAAACAAGGTGGTGACCATTTCCATCTTCAACAGCTAAATTTTAAAATATTGGGCAGGTGTTACAATATTCAAATACGCTATCTAAACCCATTGGTGTCTTACTTACTTTAAGGGCAAGTATGTGGCTGACACTTGTAATTTTCTATCCAAAGAACTCTGATAAACCTGTAGACAGTGAGCTTTAATTTGGTCAACGATTGAGTTCCGAACAATTGTAGCGATTAGCGAAGGGGAATCTTTCTCCCGAGTCCCACAAAAAATCTCACCATGGAGACAGCGCTGCGGACCTATTAATTTCGCAAGAATTGCAACCCTGAGGATTCAAACCCAATTTTTTTGGCAAGTCTAATCTTAGGGTGTAGTTAAGTGTCCACTAAATAATTCTTAGGTACTAAAAAAAAACTTTAATCAATAAACAAATGTTTAAAAAAATTACTGAGATATTTGATGATGATATGAATAAGGAGATAACACACCCAGTAATTCATTGTAATTGCCAAATGCGCCAATCACAAGATCAAGGGCCAAGAAATCTAAAGAAGCTCTCAGTGGGTTGATCCAGCAATTGTGGGCTAATCATGAAGACATCAAGTCCAAATTTATTCATAATCAAAATTTAGTTAATGTCATCCATGCAAAGGAGGTTGAGTGAAATGAGTAGCAATTTTAATGTCAATTAATGATTAATGGGGCTGATAGTATTTTTAATGTTATTAAGGTTGATTCACATTTCCAATATCATTAATGTTTAGTGGGCTGATTAGAGTCTTTTCCTTTTTTCAAGTTGTCAACTTTAAATTAGCGTATTTTCATTTGTTAGTCTTTTTCTATTCTTGGAGGATGTTCCAAGTATAAATAAAGGAGGATACAACTCTTGTAATCAGACTTTGAAGTTATAATATAATAGAGAGGTTTCTTCTATTTTGTTCTTATCTAGAACTCTAAACTTATCAAGAAGCTTGTTCATGTGGCGTTCAAACCAAACTTATCACTCACCTTCTTCTTTCTTGAGTGTGGCGTCTTTATCCTTCTTATACCTTTGGTTCTTATCTTCCATAGATAACGGATCAATGTTATTTATTTCTTGTTTAAAATTCGTGAGGGTAGAAACGATCCTAACTAAATTGGTCTTGGGTCTCACTATTCTTGGTGAGGTTCATATCATTTGGTATCAAAGCTAGTCTTCTAAATCAGGTTTGATCTATCCTTATTTTATTGTTAAACTTTTTTTTTATCTCTATTTCATTCTCCTTCTTGTGTCAACTACTCCCATTGGTATTGTACACACAAAAAATCTGATCCAAATTCTTTGAGGTAAAACTTGTCTCTTTGAATTCTTTTCAGTTTTGTTCTTTCTAATATAGTGTGTACTTCTCTTCTTACTGAATTACATTTATTAGTGCTTAAATTTATTGTCATTCCAACCTTTCTTTACCCCTAATTCTTGACATAATGTATGTATATATATATATATATATATATATATTCTCTTGTTCTTCTTGTCTCTTTGTATTACATCTTGTGATCTGTTTGGATTTCTTCAAGAAAACTTCAATTGAGTGTAGCTAAGAACTAAAAGAAAGAATTCAAAAGAGGGGGAAAAGGCAAGAGTGTGTGAGCTTATAAGAGGGTAAAAACCTAATTTTGAAACATGAGTGTAAGAGCTATTAATTAGGAGAGAAACACGTGAAGGTATGTTTGTAAGGATATTTCAACTATTATTTTTGCAGATTAAAAAAAATGTCTCAAGAAGGTGATGCTCAAATTCCTAAAGATTTCAAATTCTACTTTGGAGCCATGGCACAGAGATTTGAAAGATTGAACTTCAGGTTTGATGAAATGCAAGATAGAATAGACAAAGTTAAACAAAGGGAGCCACAACCGAGAACTTCAGAACATCAAAATGAAGATGAAACCAATTCTACGGTTGATATAAGGCATAATGAGCGTCAAAATGAAGGAAGAAGAGTGCGTAATGAAGAAAGAGTTGATAATAACCTAAGAAGTATCAAGATGAAGATTCCATCCATCCAAGGCAGAAATGATCCAGAAGCTTACTTGGAGTGGGAAAGATAGATGGAGTTGGTGTTTGATTGTCATAACTACTCGAAATTGAAAGAGGTAAAATTGGCTGCCATAGAATTTTCTGATTATGCTATTGTTTGGTGGGATCAATTTGTGTCAAACAGGAGGAGACATGGTGAAAGACCCATTGAAACATGGGAGGAAATGAAAGCTATCATAAGACGATTTATTCCAAGTCACTACCACAAGGACTTGTTTAAGAAATTACAAAGTCTCACACAAGGTTCTAAAAGTGTTGAAGACTATTTCAATGAAATGGAGACAACCATGATTCGAGCCAATGTAGATGAAGATCGTGAAGCTACTATGGCTAGATTTTTGCTTGGCTTAAATCTGGACATTGCAAATGTGGTAGAATTACAACATTATGTGGAGTTAGATGACATAGTGCACATGGCCATAAAGGTGGAGAGGGAACTCAAAAGGAAGGGTATCATGCATATGGGCAGAATTCAACTTCATCTTCAAGACCAACATGGAATAAAAATGAAGAGAAGCCCCATTTCAAATCTCCAGTTGGTTCCTCTAAAACCAACCAAGTTGTAAACACTTCCAGCCAAGGTAAAGCTGACTCTCAATCCTCTACAAATAGAGACATAAAATGTTTTAAGTATTTGGGAAGGGCTCAAATTGCTTCTCAATGTCTAAACAACAAAGTCATGATTTTGAAAGATAATGGTGATATTGAAAGTGAATGCGAATCTGATAATGAATACATGCCTTCTTTAGAAGATGGAAGTGATATAGAATTACCAGTTGAAGGAGAGCTTTTAGTGGCTAGAAGAGCTCTTAATGTGCAAGTTAAAGAAGATAAGGAGTTGCAGCGAGAAAATATTTTGCGTGCATTCCTTAGAAAATTTGTGGTTGTATATTTTGATGACATTTTGATTTATAGCAAAAACTTGAATGAGCATGTTGAGCATTTAAAACTTGTTTTGAATGTTTTGAGGAAAGAGAAGTTGTTTGCTACATATGAGAAAGGAAAGACTTCCAACCCAAAGACGTTCCAAACTGCTTCTAAGGGGTGATGGACCATTTCAAGTGATTGAGAGGATGAATGATAATGCCTACAACTTACAAGCTTGACCTTCCAGGTGAGTACAATGTTAGTGTAACATTTAATGTTTATGATTTATCTTCTTTTGATGTAGGTGTAGATTTGAGGACAAATCCTTTTGAAGAGGGAGGGGATGATATGAATAAGGAGACAACACCTAGTGATCCATTGCAATTGCCAAATGGGCCAATCGCAAGATCAAGGGCCAAGAAGTTTAAAGAAGCTCCTAGTGGGTTGATCTAGCAAGTGTGGGCTAATCATGAAGACATCAAGTCCAAATTTATTCATAATCAGACTTTAGTTAATGCCATCAATCCAAGGGAGGTTGAGTGGAATGAGTAGCAATTTTCAATGTCAATTAATGCTTAGTGGGGCTAATAGCATTTTAAATTTTATTAATGCTTTGTGGGGTTTATTCACATTTCCAATGTCATTAATGTTTAGTGGGCTGATTAGAGTATTTTTCTTTTTCTAAGTTGTCAACTTTAAATTAGTGTCGTTTCATTTGTTAGTCTTTTCCTATTCTTGGAGGGATGTTCCAAGTATAAATAAGGGAGGATACAACTCTTGTAATCAGACTTTGAAGTTATAATATAGTAGAGAGGTTGCTTCTCTTTGGTTCTTATCTAGAACTCTGAACTTATCAAGAAGCTTGTTCTTGTGGCGTTCAAACCAAACTTATCACTCACCTTTTTTTTTTTTTGAGTGTGACGTATTTATCTTTCTTATACCTTTGGTTCTTATCTTCCAAGATAACGGGTCAAGGTTCTTTATTTCTTGTTTAAAATTCCTGATTGTAGAAACAATCCTAACTAAATTGTTCTTGGGTCTCATTATTCTTGATGAGGTTCATATCAGATGACCTACACCACAAGAGAAGTGCTACTAATTCGAAGTCTGAATTTTTTTCTTGTCAAATTAAATATAATCAAACTAGCCTTTGTGGGGAAATTGCAAATAATATTTTTCTTTAGTATATACAAGATAATCATTAAACCCACTAAATTTATATACAAACAATAAAAAAATAAATACCTTTTTGGGTCTTCAACAAAAAATGCAGAACCCATTTTAATCTCAGGAAAAAAAAGTCAACTTGTGGTTTCTTTGAACTTCCAGTTCTTTGAAATTGTGATACCTCAGAAATTTAAAGAAAACTCATATTAGTCCCTCAAAAAAGAATAATATAGATATTATTTTTAAGGGATTAAAATAGATTCCTTAGTTTTTGTTGAGAACCCAAAATAGTATTTACTAAAAAAAAAAGGAAAACAAATCAACTTGCGCAGGTTGACCATCAGAATTGCTCTTAATGTGAGCTTTTCCTTTACAATCTTAATCAAAGAACAAATTTTTTTTTATACGTTTTCATGGTATCAGCTTTTTTAAAATTATGTATATTATATGTTACTTTTTTTTGGAATATATATATATATATATATATATATATATATATATATATATATATATATATATATTATAAATTACTTATACAAATGTAAAACTTGAATCTTCTTTACATTAAAATATTAAAAAAATAATAGTTTATGAAAATGTCAAAAAGTTACGAGAATTTTTTAAATGGTAATATTACTGTCATGTAACATGAGAGTAGTTCTCTCATGTTACAGAGAGAATCCAAGTAGGGCCCGCTATTTAAAAGCAAAAAAGAAAAAAAAGGGCACGATTTTCGAAGTGAGAGAA